ACAACACCCAGCTATTTTGGTGTTGTAGTTATCATTGTTGTTTGGCAGGCCTAGGCTGGGTTCAAACCCGCCACCTCTGGTGTATGTGGCTGGCGCCCTACCCCCTGAGCTATGGGAGCCGCCCAAATTTCTCAGTATTCTTACAGTAAATAAACATTTTTTTTGTTCTGACAATCAAGAAAACACTAACTTCAGGAGAATATGAATTTCTTTAGTTTTGAAGAGTTCTTAAAGGAAGAAATTCAATTAAAAATGTTTATCTCCTGTGAAAATGAACTCTGCTTTAAATATAAGATGTCATATGTGAGCAAACCAAGTTATACATAGTATTTTTTAATCGAAAAGTAATAAAGTGATTACATTAATAAAATAAATTTTTATATAGCATGTAGTTTATTTTTTCTCAAAATATTTTGGTAGATTTCATTACTTCTCTACCAGCTTCTCTAATCTAAATTCCCAGTTACTCCAAGGCCTGGAGAGAGTATAGAACCTACAAGCTGTCAAAAGTTAAAACTTTCCTACATGAATTAACTTTTATGCTCCTAAATCCATATCCTTCCCCCAACATTTGATCCTGTTTTTTATACTATGCTTAGAAAACTTACTAAGTTAGAAAAAAGTAACTAACCTCCATGAAGCACAGGTATCAGGTTATAAGAGGGCAGAGGTGGGCACTGGGATCAGAGCTCAGTAGGCCCAGGATGCTTCAGACCAGGGAACCAGTTAGCTTGCTAGGAATGGGCTCAGAGCATGACGGAAGACAGAAAAGTTCAGGAGCTGGAGAGACGGGGCAAGGCCAGAGTCAGGTCTGGCAGATTCCGTGACAGTTTGTCAGTTGCTTTGATCATCATTTGCTTAAGAGAAAGAGAAACCCTGATTGGAATAACCTACCTCTGCACACACCCCCTTTTTTTTTTGGAGAGGAAGAGGGCATCTCATTTAGATCCAAGGTGGCAGTCTAATCTTAAAGTTCACCAATTCCCATTTCTGGACTAGGCTGCTCTATGAAAAAGGAGATACAGCCAGGCAGGGTGGCTCACGCCTGTAATCCTAGCACTCTGGGAGGCCAAGGTGAGTGGATTGCTTGAGCTCACAGGTTTGAGACCAGCCTGAGCAAAAGCGAGACTCCATCTCTACTAAAAATAGAAAAACTGAGGCAAGAAGCTTGCTTGAGCCCAAGAGTTGGAGGTTGCTGTGAGCTATGATGCCATCACACTCTATCCAGGGCAATAGCTTGAGACTCTGTCAAGAAAGAAAGGAGAAAGAGAGAGAAAGGAAGGAAGGAAGGGAGGGAGGGAGGGAGGGAGGAAACACCATCATCAGACTATAAGCCTAACTCACGAAAAATGACCACCCCACCCCTGCTTATGATCCCATCACAGCATCAAGACACTAGCTGTGTGTGGCTTTAATCGAGAGCTAGTACACCTCTCATATTCCATTGAAATAGCCCCAACTCTATCTCTGAGAAAGTAACACAGGCCTGAAAAATCCTAGGTTCCAAGGAAGCAGGATGAGAAAAGCTCATTTCATACTGCTTTCTTCAGGAGTTTCAACTTACAGAGATACATACCAACACTGCACTCTGAGTAACCTATAAAGAGCCATCATAGAGCCAAACAGTTTTTCCTACAGTAATTCCTCTAAGTCAGTATATTGTTTTCAATGTCTACCTTCTGCCTAGGTGTTCAGCCTTAATGCCCACAACTCTTTATCCAGTGTTTGGAATTGCCCAATAATTCATGCTTCTGCAGTTTTGTGCATGCTTTGCCTTCTATCCCTTCTGCTGAGGGTCTCTCCTCCCCCACACCCTAGTCATTATCTCTTCACTACACTCTTCCCTAACTACTCTTTTGCAACGCTGTACCCATTCTTCTGACCTTTGTGGAAAATATTTCTGGCTCTATACAAGAGTTCCCAACCTCAGTACTATTGATATTTTCAACCAGCTAAGCCTTCGTTGTTGGGGGCTGCCCTGTGAACTTTAGAATGTTTAGCAGCATCCCTGGCTTCTATAAACTAGATCCAGTGGCACCCTCCACCACAGTCATGGAAAAAATGTCTTCAGATTGCCAAATGTCTTCTGAGGTTGGGGGTCGGAATTACCCCCCAATTGATAACCACTGCTTTACACATTTCTATAACATCCTAGAGCTCTGTATGTGTCTACAGTATTGGCCTCAACAGAATGTATTTGAATTGTTTAATTGCATGTATGACCCTCCACTAAGTTGTGAATAATGGCAGGGTACTACTGTGTCTTGCTCACCTTGACAGTATGTGGCATTTGTTGAATCAAATTCTTAATCAGATAAATGACTATGATATGCTGGTGACCACTTAAAAACTCTAAGTTAAAAAATTAATTTTGTTTCATCTTGATTATTTTTGTTGTTGACTAAAATATTTAACAATGCTTAGTTTGGATGATTATACTAAAGCCTGGAGCCTTCACTTTCTTGAACATGTAGCCCAGGTTAAATACGAGAATACTGGCCTAGAAGGTAGTAGCCTTGTCTCCCACCAGAGCACCGAGTGACTTTAGTTAAGATGTATTTAACTCCTCTGGGTATCAATTCATCTTTTTTTAAAAATGTGGATTCCTAAGTCTCCTGCTATCCCTAGAAGCCTCTGATTCCAAATCCCAATCTTCACAAAGGGTACTTCAAGCCTTTACAGTAGAACCTCC